TATATATGAGAGAGAGAAAGGGAGAGAGACCTAAACTAGAAATTATTGAATTTATTGAAACAAAACAAACACATGAAAAAAAAAAAAACAATACCCTAGACAGGCTATGCCAATGTTAAAGAAAAACTCATCAAAGATTATACAACAATTGTACCTTAACTTGAAAGAACATAAATTGCTTCATAACCAAAACTAAGAAAACTTTGATTTGTGAATTTGCATGTATCACCCATTGCAAAATATTTACATGCAGTGCATAATCTAGATTTGTTGTCTTCAAACTTTAAAATTTGGGGGCCAGTGACTATGTGGACATTTTCTTGATATTACCAGTATACAGGCTCTTGTCTATCACTAGCTAAAGTGCATGGCCACAGGTGATGACTATGCAGAAAGAAAGTGCTTTGCAGCTGAAAATTTTCTCTGTCCAACAATGTTACTGTGCTTTTATGTATCTTTTGTAGTTTCTATGGAAATAAATGGAAACATTGCTTTATTTATATTGTGAATGACAAATAAAATGTCTGATTAATAATGTTTTCTCTCTGAAACTCAAAAACATGACAAAATAACTTGGGATGAATGTGACGGGTTATCTAGCAGGAAACAGTAGTGATTTTACATCCAATCTCTTGAATGAAACCATGCCTCTACCATTGGTGCTGTAACTAAATGCTATGTGCTAAGCTGAATTTCAAGATAGGAAGAAATCACAGCTTCAGGCATCTGCCATTCCTCCAATAAGCCACCATTATATGGAGAATCTAGATAAAAGAAGCCTGTCATCAGGCCAGGAGAGTTCCCATCCTAAATTAATTCCTTATCTCCAAAAAATTCTAATATACACAATTTTAATTTACTTTACAAACTTAGAGGGCATCTGATTTCTTGGCCCTTGGCTTGACAAACAAGCCATTCTGGCTTATTAATTATCTCTCTATTTTCCTTTTAACAATTTTAATATTACATTTCTAGGTGGTCTTACATGCAAAGCTTTCATTTTGGCCTACAGTTTTGATCAACTGAGGAAGTGTCATCTCATCTCTAGCGACTTTGTATTGACGCACATTGCCTAAATGTCTCTGCTCACAGTTTCTACCTATCTTCCTCTTTTCTCAAGAAATACTTTTGATCTGGGATTTCTCTAAGACTCCATGCTTTTCACCAATATGACAGAATGGGACATTTCTCTTAGCTCATCATCTACAGTCATTCTGATGGTGTTGAAGTTTAGTTCAGTGCCTATCTTAAACATGGATTTTTTTAGGCTTTTGCAATCTTGCTATTATTGATGCTATCACTACCCTCCTTCTTAGGAATGCCATTAACCATGTAAATGATCTTCTTGACAATGAGAACAATGCACAAGAGACGTGTCCTTCAGCATGTAGGCAATCATGGCTCTCCACATCTTCCTGTCCCTTGTAGCTCTTAATAAACTTTGTCTTTCTGTTATTTCTCCTAAAACCCTGTTCTACCATCCATTTACTCAAGCCCATCAAGTATGTTACGCGTTGCTTTCCTCTTTCCCTCAATCTGTCCTGTGAGTATCAGATTTTCCAAGCCCTTCTTCCTCATTACGTGCTCTAGAAATTTCAATTACCTCTTCCTGTTGTTAAGTATAAGTTTCTATTTTCTCTAAAAACATGTTTTTGTTCACATGTTCAGTCCATAGTATCCTCAGCATCTTTCTCTTGTGCAAGCCTGGCACTATTTGTCTTATGAAGATATTTTGTACAATATTGCTGGAAAACAGATGTATGGTAATGGTAATAATAGCCATTTCCCTACAAGGAAACATTCAGCATTCATTGATTAAGAAACCAGCACCACTTTAGGTTGAAATTTATAAAATCTTTCTCAAGTCCAATAGCTGTTATTACTCTTTCTAGTATTGTTAGGGGGTTTCCTTCCTAATCTTTTGTTCCAAGTTATATAAAATGTCAGCGTATTGATTTTATCATTATTTTCCCTTTGGTTTACATGTGCTGTCCATTTTAGTTAAGACATCTTATGAAAACCTCAAGTGATTTCATTTCTATTATTGGGTACTGTTATTTGTGATCCTGTAGTGCCAGTCCATAAGGTTTGAAAAAAAATTGGCTTTACTGAGACCTATAGGTTTAATTCACTAAAAGCTATTTTTAACTACTGATTTCAGAAAGCAATTGTTTACAGCTGACAGTTTAGATATTTCTGAACATGTTTGGTACTGCTATGCTAAATTTGACTTGTTATGACTGATTGATACATCAAGGTATCTGAAGTGTTCAGTATTTACTAAATCTACATCTTGAATTGTTATGACAGATTCAAGGTAGGTGCCAGCACTGCTTTCATTCCAACTTCAAATACTTTCTTTTTTGGAAAGGTTTATTTTGAGTCTTATTTCTTGGAACCCTTGGATGTTAATTTTTTTTTTCAAGATTATTCTAATATCAACTATGAATAGCTATGTCATCTGCATAGCCACTCCTATTATCAATAAATTGGCCTCAGGGAGGAAAGCAGGATCGCTGTCTTCTCTTAGTAGATTCATTTGGGATGTGATATGAAATGCTTAGGTAACAGAATACTATTTGTTTTTTGGTTTCACATCGATTGGCAAAAAATTTTAGTTTAAAAATTACTGATACTTTTGCTTTCCTGTATGTGAAATTTAAAAATACCAATATTGTTAACTTTGACAAAATAATACCTAAAGTAAGGTTAGTTAAAAAGTAGTTTGATATTGGCCTCTGTATTTCTTTCAGTGACATAGAACAGTAGTTGGATATATACCACAGTACAATGACCAGAATTATAATAGATCCAATCTTGAAAGGGTTCTTCTCGTTGTGACCTTGTGCCAGACTAAATTAAGCTTAAAGCTTAAAGAACCAGAGATTCAATATTTGATAAGCAAATAAAAATCTAGTCTCTTACTTAGGAAAAAAAATTAGTCATCCTATATTGGCAATGAATGCTGGATAATTTCCTCACAGATGAAGAAGAAACTTGAAGCAAAAGAAATGTTGTTCTAGAGAAGGATGCTGAGAATATAATGGATCGAACATATGAACAATGACAAATTTTAGAGAAACAAAAAGGGTACTTATACTTAACATCAGAAAGAGTAGGTTGAAATTTCTAGGTCACATAATGAGGAAAAAGGGCTTGGAAAATTTGACACTCATAAGACATATTCAAGGTAAAAGCAACAAAGGAAAATAGTGCATAGCCTACCTAAGAATTTTGTGTAAACGTATAGCAGAAATGGGTTCAGGAGAAATAAGAAAAAGAGAAAATTTATTAAGAGTTACAAAGAACAAGAAGTTGTGAAGAGTCATGATTGCCAATGTCATAAAGAGACATGGCACATAGAAGAAAATGATGATGAGAGCAGCAAATTTTATATCAACACTATTTCTACACTGGATATACAAGCATATCAGTGTATGCATTAAGATGTGTGTACACATATGCACCTAAACTTTTATAAAATGAAATGTTAGCATATGGACATACACGAATACAGAGGTTATATAGAGAGGTATAAAGAACGCTGTAGAAGTGAACAGATATATACTTTATAAAAAGAAAAGAGACACAGTGAATCTATAGGCATATATTACAGATTATATAAACCCTTGTGCAAATTAATTGAAACAAACCACTTTAGTCTCCTTTCTTTCACCATACATTCAATTTTAGACCCACTGGAGTGACAGGGTGTAATTGATTTCTATTTTTTCCTCAGATTAGGTCATTTGCAGTGGTTTGCAGCAATATGGAAATATTAAAAAAAATGGGGTTTATGATGAAATTTGTTTGGCCTTGAAAAATATTACATCATCAGTGATTGCATCATATTTTTATCACACCCAGACACTATTGTCTGAAGTGTTGATTAGTTTTCCTATGGCCATTGTCTGTGATGGACGTTAATCCAAGGAAGTGTACAAAAATTGTAATGCTGCAAGAACATACTGTCAAGCCTTACCAGCGAGAAAAAGTACTATAGACTGGCCTGAAAACTCTCCTGATTTAAATCCAATCAAGAATCTGTGGTCAATCTGCAAGGAACGACCGTGAAATGAACATAAGAAATACTAACATGTGCACTGCATCAGGTTTCATTGGATAAATATGAAAAAAAAGTAAATAATAGCATAATTATTCATTTTGTTTCAATTAATTTGCACAAGGGTGTATATAGTAAGATATATATAGTAATATATATATACAGTATATATATATATATATATATCTACACACACACTACTGTATATTATATTATATTACTAGTGTATATATATATATATATCTACACACACTACTGTATATTATATTACTAGTGTATATATATATATATATACACACACTACTGTATATTATATTACTAGTATATATATATATATATATATATATATATCTACACACACTACTGTATATTATATTACTAGTGTATATATATATATATATATATATATATATATATATATATATATATATATATATATACTCACACTACTGTATATTATATTACTAGTGTATATATATATATATATATATATATATATATATATATATTAACTCACACTACTATATATTATATTATATATATATATATATATATATATATATATATATATATATATATATATCACACTACTGTATATTATATTACTAGTGTATATATATATATATATATATATATATATACACACACTACTGTATATTATATTATATTACTAGTGTATATATATATATATATATATATATATATATATATATATATCTACACACACTACTGTATATTATATTATATTACTAGTGTGTGTATATATATATATATATAGTACTATTACTATTAGATTACATATATATTACACATCCACAGTGTTGTGGATCTAAAGGTGTATATTAGCAATATATCCAAAATAAAAAACAGCAATAGTAATTTTGTAAGAGCAAACGTAATGTCTTTGGATTTACTCAATGATGCAGGAATGAATGAATCAAAGAAGAGAAACAAAAACTTCAAAGAAATTGGAAAAAAAAAGCGATGGAAAAAAACTCACCTTCATTTTTTGAGCTGGTGATGTGAAAGCTGTCATCAAAGATGGAAACACGTTGCTACCTTGCTTTTCAATCAGGTTCACAAGTGGAGCAGTAGCAGCAGTGATGGAGATTGCAGATCCTTTTGTGGAGTCTACAAATGGCTTCATATCATCATTTAACTAGAAGAGAAAAGGTAGAAAAGTAGAAATGAACAGCAGCTTCATTGCAAGAGAAGCAGATAGAGAGAAAAATAGGCGTAAATAATGAGAGAGACAATAAAAAAAAAAAAACTTGATTAAAAAATGATAAAAACACAAGGGGTCTTCAGAAATATTTACACTGTTCGGATTGATGTCCTCGTCTTTATTGTCACATTCCCGTTTCAGCCATTGTACGCTGCAACTTTCTTGTTTGAAGTTTTACTGTAAATTTTATTATTTGGCTAGGAAAGTCTGTGATTACTCTCACCATTTATGATTTTCTAAAATAAACTGTAATATTATTTATTGTTTAATTATGCAATTTAATATGAATATTATCAGCAGAATATTAATGTGTTTCAACATTAATCTTAACTATTATACTGTATTCATACAGCATTTGGAATCTTGACAATCTGGTTAATTCCAGGATATATATATATTCTAGCATTCCAAAATTTCCTAATTTTAATACATGCCTCATTTATTTATCTATATTTCTGAAATGAGATGAGATGTTGTAACTATATATCAACCCCTTATGGATTATTTAATGACGAAACTGAATTCACTTACGAGGGTCAGCTGGTAAGTTCATAGGCTGACCTAGATATAAATGTAAGTAGACACGCCAGTTGGTAGACCAAAAGACATGCAAGTGTACCAGAATACAACAGTTAGCTGGTTATTCACATTTCCAGCGTGCCATTGCAATCATTTTCTTTTAATTGCTGCCATTATGAGTGTCAACTGTTTTTATGTTCCTATTACTTCTGGAAGCATTGTTATAATCTTTGTATATACTTTTATTTATTTCTTCTCCTGAAAAGGTATGTGTGGCTCATGTACAATAATGGAAGAAGGTTCTATAATAGAGTATTTTCTAAAATAAACTGTAATATTATTTATTGTTTAATTATGCAATTTAATATGAATATTATCAATGGAATATTAATGTGTTTCAACATTAATCATAACTATTATACTATATTCAAATAGCATTTGGAATCTTGACAACATATACTCAGTCAGTTATGTGTAATACACACTTAGGTAATCATGTATCTTTCGATACATGACTGACGAGGCAGATTTTTTCCCCCACAATAGGTTGCCATTTCTTTCTGCAGTAGACCAGTTGCCATCCAAAGCTATAGAACCCAGTCTGTCCTGCCATTTACCCACAGAGAAGAAGAGGATTCATACCTTTTTCAAAGGTATTAGCATGTAAATGAATGTAATGGATTCAACTGGAATTTGAACACAACTCTCCAATTCCTCAATCTGAGCCACTATCCATTATTCCCCAAACCTCCTTTCGAAAATTTCCTAATTTCAAAACATACCACATTTATCCATATTTCTGAGATGAGATATTTAAACTATTTACATTTTTCAGACAGTTATCCTCATCTTTATTCTCACATTCACAATGTTTCGGCCATTGTATATTACAGCCTTCTTCAGGTGATATTTGTTTGAATTTGAAGCCAAACAAAGAATAGTCAAACTGTATGTTGATGTTTCTGAAGATTGGTTTGATGACGTTTGTGTAAACATTCTTCCCTTGTTTATTTCCTGAAATGGGCCAAGATATAACCCTCACATTCCTGGGTTGCTGAATAAAGTCACTGAGAATCTGTTCCATTTCCTCTACCCACCACTTGCAAATATCGGGACAGGGATTGGCAAAGGTCAAGTTCTTTTCTGACAGTTGTGACCGGAGTGTACAACAGCCGAAATGTTGTGAATGTGACAATAAAAATGAGGACAATAGTCTAAACAGTGTAAGTAGTTACAATACCTAATCTCAGAAATATAGACAGATGTCTTCAGAAATATATTTCATGTGTCTTACATTGACGGAATAACAATATTTTGCGCCTTATTTAGTTTCCTCATAAAAATTGGTATTGAAAATTTTGATGAAGCAAAATACATGGTGAAACATGTCAAATTTATGAAGATTTCCTACTTATATCCTATTTTTATCATTCTGTCAGATTTACTCCACGTTTTCAACTCCTATGCTAGATTTTTAAGCAACAGGTCTTGATAAAATATATATATATATATATATATATATATATATATATATATATATATGTAGATATTTTAGATAATAATAATACAAATATTTGTTATTTACATATGTTATTTACAGTCATATTGCCCTCATCTTTGTTATCACAATGTTTCAGCCATCACACTCTCTGCCCTTCTTCAGATATCTGTACAATAATAATAAGAACTTTATTTTGACAGCAAATAACATAAATAAGGATTAACTCAACATCCTAGAAATTCAAACAGAAATATTTGCTGATGTTCAACCAATGACATAAGTGGAAAGAATAGTCAGTAACTTCCAAAAGAGCTTTCAGTATGAAGGCTAGAAAAGGAAAAGGTATAAATCCATAGTTTAAAAAGTTCATTCATAGTAATTTCTATTTTTGTTTTGCTTAACAAAAACGAGAAAATATTTTTAGATTGTAAGAATGTTTTTTTTGTTTTGTTTTTTTTTGGATAATAATGATTTAGCGATACAAGTCTTACTAATTAACCCATAGCTGGGGAGAGAAAAGGTGGATTCATACTTTTCCAAGGGTATTTGCACATAAGTGTTTAAAATAAACACAATGAGATTTGTAACTCCGCTTTCTGATTAACAATTATGAACCATTATCCATTACACTGCCCACACATCCAAGCTTATAGCACCTGGTATTCCGAAGTGGTCACCCATCTAGATTCTGATGAAGCTTAACATTGCTTAACTTCAGTGATCATACAGGAACTCATGTTTCAACATGATATGGCCATAAGTCTCCATTTTTGGAACCAAATTTAATAAGGCATCATCCTAACTGCTGATCACCCATCTAGATTCTGATGAAGCTTAACATTGCTTAACTTCAGTGATCGTACAGAAACTAGTGTTTCAACATGATATGGACGTAAGTCTCCATTTTTGGAACCAAATTTAATAAGGCATCATCCTAACTGCTGATTATAAATGGTGGTTAAGAATAAATTTGGGGTACACTAAAATACAACAATGTTCAACAGCAAAGATAGTGGATTGACAAGGATAAATCTGTAAAAGTGAACCCAAAAATCTAAGCTCCATAGGAAAATGGTAATGTTGTGTGATTGTTAGGTCATTATTCAATTTGTTTTGAAAATGCAATGAAACAAGAAATGCATATTTATACATCCAGTAGCTTCAAAATGTCCACAAAACCTTGGATATCAATAGACAAAATAATATTCTTCTCTATGACAATGCAAGGCTGTATAAATGAAGTCTAACACAGGCCCAAAATTCTGGAATTCAATAGATCTTGTTCTAACCCACCAGTCATAATCAACTGACCTTACACCAATTAATTATTACCTTGTACTACTACTACAAGACATTTTGACAGGGAAAACTTTCTCTAATGAAAATCTGATTCAGGAGTTCATCAAAAACTTTTTCATTCAACATTTATCAAAGTGCTGCCTGATAAGTGGCAACACTGTAATTGCAAATAATGGTGGAATTATAATTGAAGAAAATGTAATTGTACTTTACTTCTTGAAGAATAAACTTAACAAAAACAGAAATCATAGCTCAACCTAATATGTGAACAGAAAGTATGATAAGGCAAGATCATTATAGATAAATAGCAATATTATCAATCCTTATCTGGCAGCTCAGCTTCAGTCACTTTCCCACCGATGTAAGATCACCTCTCTTTGCCTTTTCTATAAATTCTTTCATGGTAATTGTTCAGACAAGCTATTCACTATGGTACCTCGACTTTTTGAATTTAGGCACAGTACCAGACTGGCATCGACATCTCATCAATTTACAGTTCAGCTGGCTGAGATGTAACTGTGAATTCTATGCTAACAGTTTCTTTTCTCACACTTCTCACTTGTGGAACACCCTTTCAGCTCCATGCCAACATTAATCTGCAAAAATTTAAATGCAATGTCAATCACTATCTGTTGTCCACTTGAATACTCTTTTCTCTTCCCAGTCATTATTAATGTTTCTGTTCCTGATTCTTCCACACCTAGCAACCCCTTGTGTCTTAGTGGCTTTATTGCCTTACATGAGGTGAAACTAAAAAAAAAGGTAAAAAAAAACGTCTTCACAAACTGAGAGATAAATAGATAGAAAGATAGATAAACATGAACATTTAATTACAACTGTATAGATAGAAAGAAAAAGATTTCAATAGATGGACAAAAAGACAGATAAATAAAAATGAGTATAGGGCAAACCTGATTTATTTTCTAAGCCACGTTATACAGCTGCACTAAGAGTGCGTTGGGGGTTATGTTGCTGGCAGTAGCATCAGTAGTGGCCTTCAGACAAAATCAGAATCAATGTCAGTTCTCGGCCTAATCAGTTATTCTACCAACAGTAAGAGTACAATGCGCAATTTGATTTATTGCATCCACATTTTTCAAACTGATTTAATATAAGAAAATGGTTGGAAGAGTAGCTAATGGTTTTTCATTCAAATGGAACTACTACTTCTATCTGCCATGTCCTTTCAGGACATTGATGATCAACTTCCTGTCTTCTGTAGCTCTAAGTAAGGCTTGTCTCTTTGCTGTATCTTCTAATCACTGTTCTTCCAAACATTTACACAAGCTCATTAGATAGCTTATTAGTTGCTTTCATTTGGCCCTCTTGCATTCAATATGTCCTGTGAATGTCAAATTCTCCAAGCTCTCTTTCCTCAAATGAAACACACACACACAAAAGTATGCACTCAAGCAAGGAAATAATATTGATAACAGGGAGACTTGAATCAAAGGTTAATTCCTAGAATTAAAATCCAAAATTCTTTCCATTCTTTTTGTTTCCAGAAATAAAATTTCAATTCAAAAAATGTTTGAAACAAAATATTAAGCATAAAAAATAAAATTATTAGGTCAAAATAAAAGTTCATAGGATTTTTCAATAGTTGACATTTGAA